TCTATCTATCTATCTATCTATCTATCTATCTATCTATCTATCTATCTATCCATCTATTATATCTAGCTAGCTAGCTAGCTAGCTAGCCAGCTAGCCATCTGTCTAGCTATCTATCTATCACCTATTTCAATGCAGGAGATCAAACCCAGGGTCTCTCACACGCAGGGCAAGCACTTCTCTTTCAAAATGAGAAAGCTATTTTTGGTTTTGGTAAATCCTAATCTTATTTCAAGTTCTAGATTTTTATATTAGACCCCAAAATAACATTGAGGCATTCGAACAGACTCTAGGTCTCACTGTTGGCTCTAGATTTAAATGATACATCTTGAGCAGATCCATAATTTCTCAAAGCCTTGGTTTTCTCAGTTGTAAAATGGAGATATTCATAAAAATGTGACATAAAATTATTCTAGGGTTAAAAGAAGTCATGGTAAGCAGCAAGTACAGTTCCATACTACAGTAAAACCACAAAAGTAGCTGACTTGTCTAAGTGAGGCCAGGGTTTGTTGCTGTTACTCTGTAATCCATAGTTTTGGCATGGTCTGCAGAACTCGCCAAACATTTTGAAATGGTCTGGAGTTAACTTTGTCAAAAGCAAAAACTCAAGCAAACGGTGATTCCAAGTCCCACTTTCCCACCACCACTATTTCAAACTGTTAGCCAAGGCTCTGGAGTAGTTTATGCTCAGACATGCTGCTTTCAAGGTGGAAGGGCTGAACCATTGGAAAGTTGATTCTGGCACAAGTTTAAAGCAGGACACAAAGAAGGCTTTCCATGTCGAGTTGTTAGCCCTGCTGGCCAGCCTTTAAGCAGCCCAACTGCACAGATGGCTGGGGTGCACACCCCCAAGATCCCCCAGCCGGCCTCTTCCACCTGTGGGCTCCTCTCCTTCCTCTCCCTGGTTTGCAGGCTCCCTGTCTCCACCATCCTGCTCTAGCAACTGTCACTTCTCCAGTTAACCTACCTGTCACCCTGCGTTGATGGCTGCCAACACTCACGGTGTACAAGCAGGTCGCTCAACTTCCTGTCGCCCCCTCTCCCCCGGGCCAACTCCCAGCACACAGGACCCGGGACAGCTACAGTCACAAGCACAGTTATCACTCAAGAACCACAGGCCGTGGGCATGCCATCTACCTGACTAACAAAGAGCTGGAACTCGTCAGGCAGAATCCACGAGCGAGGGTAGAAGTTGTACTCGTCCGGAAACAGGTTCTGCATGATTCTCAGCGCTCTGCTCAGAGTGATTTTACGTACCATCTCCGTCATGCCTGGGGAGAGGGGAGAAGCTGTGAGGCTCAGGCCGGGGCAGCCATTGTTCGGGACCTCCCACCCACCATGGTCATTTTCTGGGGCAGCAGAGATTCATGGGTTAGGAGGCTCTAGTAAAGTAAGGATAATAGGTAGATTCATTCTCTCTCCTTAATCCTGAAAAACAAAACAAAACAAAACAAAACAAACAAACAAAAGAAAAACAATTGAAAGGATGAGTTTTTGCTTCCTGTCTGAGCCTTGTGACATCTTTTGTCATCTTTGTGGGTAGTGAAGTTCTACCTTGCACTTAAAACTGAGCCCCTCTTCAATGCGTGGCCAGCACACATTATTTCAGGGATCTTTTCTGTCCTGTTTTCCTGGGGAGATTATCTAGTGGACTCTGGTGACATTATGAGAGGCTTAATTAAGCTGCTTTGTTTTAATCTTTCACGACTACTGAAGGGATGAGATAGAAAGACACACCTTTCAGCATGAAATCTTTCCCCTTGATTCAAGGACGGGAGGCGGGAGAGCACCCACAGCATGATTTGTAGTGTTGCTCAAGCGGAGTGGTGGGCTTAGCAGGCTATGGGAGTGAGCACTGGCATTCATTTCTCCCCGAACTCATTCATTTATTCGCCCAAAGGGGACTGAAGTGTTTCTCTTAAAAACATGTGGCTGTTTTTATCTTTATGTGTGTTTGTGTGTATGTGTGTACCTGTGTGCTTGTGTTCATGTGGGTAGGTGGGCATGTTTGGTCGTACATCTGAAGGGCAACCTTCGGGGTCATACCTCAGGAGCTGCCTGCCACTTTTCTCAGTGTGTGTGTGTGTGTGTGTGTGTGTGTGTGTGTGTGTGTACATGTGTGAGGAGGCCTGTGACTGTTGTTTGTGTGTTCTCCCTCCATCGCTCTCCACTCTATTCATTGATGCAGGGTCTCTCACCAAACCCAGGGATCAATGATACAGTTGGTCTAGCCAGCCAGCTTGCTCCAGGAGCCCCTGTCTTCCAAGTACTTGAATTATACACAGGCCATTGTGCCCATCAGGCATTAACATAGGTTCTGAGGATATGAAGTCCAGTCTTAATGTTTGCACAACAAGAGCTTTTCTTGCTGAAACATCTCCTCAGTCCTGCCTTGTTTGTAGAGACAGGGTGTCTCACTGGTCTGGAGCCCAACAATTAGGTTAGGCTGGCTGGCCAGTGAGCCCCGCGGATCTGCCTGTCCCTGTCTCCCCAGTACCGGGACTATGGTACCACTACCATGTCTGGCTCTTTGACATACATTTTGGTCATCAAACTCAGGTCCTCATGCTTGTGTGCTATACTTTACTGTCAGAGAGAGCGCTGGCATCCTCTGCACGCAGTGCATGTAGATGTGGGAATGGCATCTTCTCACACTACACCCCTGCCCCGGGTTATCTGGGTTTCTGGCAGAGCCGAGCCCATGCTCCCAGTCTAAACATATGAATGGAAGCAATGAAAGGCTGCGCACGCTCTATGCCCCGCACTGTTCGTGTTCCCGGGCTCCAGCACTATAGACTCCATCCTCTGCCTAAAGCAACCTCTCCCCACTTGAGAGCCTCCCTGGACTCTGGAACCCACTGTCACTTGCAGTGGCTGCTCTAAGTCTGTTCCCTTCTGCTAAAAACTTTGGTTCCGTTCTGCAGCTGAGGGGTTTGGTGTGTTTTTCTGACCTCTGTGTTGGTGTCATATCTTTTGTTCCTGTGGGTTGGTGGCTACCTGAGCAACACACAGAGCTGAGACTTTGGCCTCATTCTCTCTCATGGACCCCCTCTCTCCAACCTTGTTTCCAGTCCTCCTAGCCTACCCAGAGGGCTGGAGTCTCACTGCCTGGGACCATAGCTGGCACCTGGGCTCCTGCCCCCTACTGCCAGGCTCTGTGACTGCCTGCCTCCCTGGGTTGCTTATACACATCTATCCCTAGACAGCTTCTATGGTGGCAGTTCCCCCGCAAAAACCCCTAGCTCAAGTCACAGCTGCTGATACCGAGTGCTGGCCTCTGGTTATTACTTCTGAGCCCCAGGTTCTTCTGTTGGAGCCACAGGGCTGATGGGTCTTTATTCCATTGGAGTCAACAAAGAGCATACAGGTTGATCTTCAGAGCAGGGTTTGACTGGTCACTCACAGAGTCCTTCCTAAAGCTCTCTTTCTCCCCACAGAGAGGCCCGTAACTGCCCTGTGTGCCTCACTTCTCAGAACTTGGAACTCAGCAAAGGGCTGCTGCTTATGGCTAGGAAATGACAATCTGGGACTTTCTTAAAGAAAAGGCAGAGCCACGTGTGTGGCACATTTCTGCAATCTCAGCAAGGGGGGAAGGGTGCAGCAGAGGCCAGACTGATTGACCCAGTGACTTCCAAGCCATCCAGGGCTACATAGAGACCCTGTCTCAAAAGCAAAACCAGAAACACCAAAGCAAAGACCTATCTAAAGCAGAATATTTTAATGAAAAAAATCTTAATATATCACTTATGGTATAAAATGTATTTTGAACAAAGAAAAGTACCCATAGAAAAGAAAGTAATAGCTAATACAGTGACACAGACAAGATAAATAACAGGAGTGTCCTAAAGTTCTCAGTTTGTGCTGTATTTCTAGCACATTCTCTCCTGGTCATCCACCACATGAGAAATGTGCCTTTAGGATAACGGGATATGTGTGAGGCAGATAAACCCAGACACAACAGAAGCCAAAAGTCAGTCAGTTCTGGCTGGAATTGCCCTGCTTGGTGCAAAAACCTTGGTGGGCTTTTGTCTGTCCAAGGTGGAGGGCGTGGCTGTGCTGTTCCCCACCTGGAGGTTCCCAAGGCTGCTGTGTCATTACAGTAATTAAGTGCTGCTTGCAAAGTGGAAAATTACGTGTTCCAGTCACTGGCATGTTGAGCATAGAATGGAGCACTTTTCTTTGGAGTGAGTGTTCGTGTATAAAGCTAGTCCTTTGGGAGCATTTCTTTCTCTTTCCTTCCTTTGCCTGATGTAGACCCTTCGCTGCTTCCCTCTCCCTCTCAGCCTTTGGGGAGGCAGGAGTAGAAAGAAACTACAGATGCAGCCTCCTCTGATGAATTGCGAATCATGGCACAAGAACCCGTGCCAATGCAGAGTGTTGTTTGTGTGCAAATTGTTTTCTCCCACGACCTCAAGAAGTCCTTTTTATGAAAAGTAGCCTTTGTGTGAACAGCAAGACAGAAAAGCAATAGCAGCAGGCCCATTAGAGCAGTGTGCAAGGACCCTGGCTGGATGCTCGCTCTCACTCTCTAACAGAACCCTTTCTCTCTCTGAGGATGAATTTGACCTTGGGATAACTTCCAGCTCTGTTCCCCTCAAAAACCAATAAAGGTGGGATAACTGCTGTGTTGTCGAAGGACAGGGCACTCATTGCTGAGCCATGTGAGCACCCAGGAGGAAGCGGAAGGCCCAGGTTTCCTGAACGGTGGTTCTTGTAACTCAGCATAAGCCTTGCAGGGGGCGCTATCCTACAGAGTTAGGAGAGCTGCTGGCATCCGCAGGTACCTAAACCAAGACAGATGTGGACCTTGTCTCCTTGTGTCTCATCTTTTTTTCACTGAGGGCCGGAGACAAGTCCCTGAATCTTTTTGCAAACATTCCACTAAAGAAAGATGCTCCATACCGCCTGGCAGCCATGTTGTGCCTCTACCCTGTGACCCTCTGCGTGAACCAAGTACTGCCTCCAGCAGCACCCGTGTATGAGGGAGTGGTTAAGTTCAAAGCCCCTGGTGTGTGTCACAAACTACCCAGTGTGTGGTATATGGATACTGAGAAATGATGGGCTTTTGTTTGTTTGTTTGTTTGTTTGTTTGTTTTGGTCTTGAGACATGCTCTCATTCCATGGCCTAGGCTAGCCTGCAATGAATTATGTTGCCCAGGCTAGGCTCAAACTCATGGCAATCCTCCTGTCTCAGCCTCTCAAGTGCTGAGATTACAAGTATGAGCCACCACACCTGGCTAGCTAAGAGGTGTTTCTTGAAGATATGGGACAGGATACTAAAGAAAAGGACAAGCTGATTCTCCTTTCAATACAAGAGCAAAAGATATGACGCTGAGAGAGGGCACTTTGCTATGGGACCTGCGCTGTGAGCTGCAATATAAAGATGACGGCCAGGGCTAAAGTCTGAGAAAATTGGGGCTGGAGAGAGCTCAGGGGCGAACAGCATTTGCTGCTTTTCCAGAGGATCCAGGTTCATTTCCCAGCACCCACATGGTGGCTCCCAGCCACTATGTAACTCTAGTTCCAGAATATCTGATGTCCTCTTCTGGCCTTCACAGGCACTGCACACACATGGAACACGTACATGTAAACACATACATACATACATGTACATACACATAAAGTAAAAATAAAGAAATCGAACTTTGGGAGAAAATATCTTAAATGCGGAATGGAATTTGAGTGATTATTTCTTTAAAATTATTATTTTATTATAACATTGCAATTACAGTGCATTAACAGCAACAACAACAAAGTGTGGGGCCTGAATTTAGAAGCTCAATCAGATGTCCCCTCCTCCCTAAGAAGCCCCACTACCCTGTGCATTTGTTGTTACCCAACCATCAGGAAGAGTGACTGCAGAAGAGATGGAGGGAGAGGCTGAAAGACAGAGAAGCAGCAGACATGGAGGTGACCTTCAATATGGCACTGAAGAGAAAGCAGATGGGGTCTTCATTTCCAGGATCTAGTCCTGGCCTGTGTTCTACCTCTAGCCCAGCAGGTTCAAGGTATGTTCTTTTATTTTGTATATGTTTACATGTGTGTGTGGTATGCATGTGTGCGCTTGCACATGCATGCTGGTGAACATGCATGTGTATATACACATGTGAGGAGGCCTGGAGGTTAATCTGTGGAGCCTTCTAACCACTCCCCACCTCACTCACTCAGGCAGACGCCCCCAGTGAGCCAGGAGCTCACATCCATTCAACTAGTCTGGCTAGCAGCTTGCCCTAAGGATCCTTTGCCTCTACCCCCAGGGAGCTGGGGTCAC